ATCGAACTGCAAAATGGAGGACCCGACCCCGGCGAGGAATTCGTGAGAACTGTTAGGCTTGTGTCGTACGACGTATGGAGTGTTCTTCAGATCCGGGTTCCCGAAGCGCGCTGTGTAGAGCCCGGTTTCGACGTCCCAGTGCTTGATGCTCCCGTCGTGGGATGCGGAGAGGAAAGCAGTACCCTCGCTTGAGAAGTCGAGATCTGTGATTCCGTTGGTGTGCCCGCGATAGGCACGCAGAAGCTCTTTCTGACGGTACACGTCCCAAAGGAGGATCTTGGAATCTGCTGATGCGCTGAGGAGTAGGTGGCCGGAGTTGGGGAACAATTTGAGGCTCGTGATGGCTTTGCTGGGGCCGCACTGCCAGGTATGAATGTATTTCTTGGGCACGAAGTTCTTGATGTCGGGGTCGTGAGAAAGGTCCGTGGGCTGGTCTCGGGGGATGTGCATGTAGGTTCTGCCTTGGTAGTCGGACTGTTGCGGGCCTAGGAAGTCGGATGTTTCTGCAACATGATTGACTTCATTCGTGTTCGTGATGGCTTGTGCCTCTTCTTCTTGTTCTGTCTTCACGCTCATGGTCTGCTCAAGGTCACCAGCCTCATCAATCTCAACAACTTCTTCAATTTCCACGATCTCCTCATATTCTTCGGTTTCGACAGGCGGGGGTGCTTTAAGAAGAGCCCAAGGCCCTCTATACGACCCACGCCCGTCAACTATTGCCGGGTCACCATGCTCCTCTCGACGACGCTTTTTGTAACGATTATCTGTAGCAGTCCGCTGAAAGTTAGGCTGGGTGTCGTACTTTGATGAGGTATACGTACCTTGGGCTACATGTTGCGACGACCGGAAGCTGGCTTCGCTGAGGAAGGTCTGCTCCGCTGTTCAAGCAGGCAGTTCACCGTGTCCCGCCATATTCGCGGCGCGATTCTTGATGGAAGTAGGTTAGAAGCGGGGGTGTAAATCTACCTCTTTCTTGTTCGATCAGTCCCGAGATTGATCGTGTTGAGAGAGTATGCGATGAATGGGACACAAAGGGTGCATTGGCGGCCTTTTATAGACTTGGGCCATAGTTGAGTCACAACTATGGTTGTTTAAGATTCGTCAAGGAGTCGAGGAAAGATGAACCACTGTCAGTTACGAACCCACGTGATCGCGTTGCGGCGAATCGCCGACACCTCCGCGTCCAGCGCAACCCAACTTTTTCCGAGGAGCCCACAGCGTCTTTCCACAACACCCATTGTCGCCCACAACATGAATCGCCTCGTTCCCCAAAGAGCGCGCCAGCTCTGGGGCCATGCTCCTCGCGTACGATCGTTCAACAATCGCACCCGCAGGACTTTTGCGACGGTTTCTAGCACCGAGCAGCGGTATGCCCATCTCCTCTCTTTAACTTCAATTGCAATTTTCTAATAGATTGAATTAGTCCCTACGATGTCATCGTCATAGGCGGCGGCCACGCAGGCTGCGAAGCATCTGCGGCCTCGGCGCGTTCCGGCGCGCGAACGGCTCTCATCACCCCCTCCGTTACGAATCTCGGCGTCTGCTCGTGTAATCCTTCGTTTGGCGGAATTGGCAAAGGAACAATGCTCCGCGAGATCGATGCGCTGGATGGAGTAGTTGGTCGTATAGTAGACAAGGCAGGTGTGCAATTTCGAGTCTTGAACAGGAAGAAAGGACCTGCGGTTTGGGGACCGAGAGCGCAGATTGATCGGGCGTTGTATAAGCAGTATATGCGTGAAGAGATGGTCGGATACCAGAATCTGAGTGTGGTTGAGGGGAGTGTGGCCGATATCATTGTGGATAGAGAAGGAGAGCAAGAGGAGGGGAGATATGGGCTGATCAAGGGTGTTCGGCTGGAGAGTGGCGAGATTATTCCCACTGGAAGCGTTGTGATCACCACAGGAACCTTTCTCGGCGGAGAAATACACATTGGACTTGAGGCGTACCCGTCTGGGAGAATGGGCGAGGCGGCGACCTTTGGGTTGAGCAAGAGCTTAAGGGAAGCTGGGTTCACACTGGGAAGATTAAAGACGGGAACACCACCGCGGTTAGATAAGAAGTCTATTAACTTCGATGTTCTCGAAGCACAGGAGGGAGACAACCCACCAACACCATTCAGCTACCTCAACGAAAGAGTACAGGTCGAACAGCAATTGCTGAACCACGAGACGCGAACGAACGAAGCGACCCACGATATCATCCGCAAGAATCTCGACAAATCAATACACATACGAGAAACAGTCAAAGGGCCACGATACTGCCCCTCCCTCGAATCGAAGATCATACGCTTCACACACAAATCCTCACACATCATATGGCTGGAGCCAGAAGGCTTCCACGACGACGTCATATACCCGAACGGTATTAGCATGACCGTCCCTGCAGATATACAAGAAGCTATGCTCAAGACAGTTCAAGGCCTGGAGAATGTGAAGATGCTGCAGCCTGGGTACGGTGTAGAGTACGACTACGTCGATCCGCGCAACCTACGCTCGACCCTCGAAACGAAGAATATCGCCGGTCTCTTTTTAGCTGGACAGATCAACGGTACGACAGGGTACGAAGAAGCGGCTGGTCAGGGTGTCATTGCTGGAATAAACGCTGGCCTAGCAGCTCAAGGAAAGGAGCCGATGATCTTAACGAGAGCGGACGGATACATTGGCATCATGATCGACGATCTCGTCACCAAGGGAGTCTCGGAACCATACCGCATGTTCACATCTCGCTCCGAATACCGCATGTCTGCCCGCGCCGACAACGCAGACACCAGACTGACAGCCATGGGCCGCGCAGCCGGTGTCGTAACAGACAAGCGTTGGACAGCCTTCGAGCGCGAAGCCGAAGAAATGGCTGCCCTCACCAAGCTTCTCCAAGAGAAAACCATGGGCTTCAAAGATTGGACAGAACAAGGATTTGGCGTCCGAAATGACTCCTCGAAACGTTCTGCGTACGATCTGCTGCGCATGGCAAACACCACTACCGAGAATCTTCTCGACATCCTCCCGGAAGTTAGGAGCTTTAGCACGAGGATTAGAGGAAGAGTCGAAATTGAAGCCGTCTACGCGCCCTATGTAGCGTACCAAACTGCGTCCCAACAGCGATGGTTGAAAGATGAGGGGCTTAGACTCCCGGTGGATCTGGACTACGATGGTATCTTTGGACTGAGCTTTGAAGAGAAACAGGTCCTGAAGTTGACGAGGCCGGAGAGTGTGGGGCAGGCGAGGAGGGTGGAGGGCGTGACGCCGACCGGGGCGTTGAGGTTACTGCAGTTCGTTAAAGGAGTTGGAAGGGAGGATAAGGAGGCAAGGATGAAGGCTGAGGTGGAGGAGAGGAAGAAGGTTTTCATGAATGCTGCTGCGGGGATGGACTAGGAACTTCGAGGGAATGTGTGAATTTGTGCATTGCGCGGCGTTGGTGGCATGATAAGGTGTATATTAATTAGTTGGGGATATGGCTTCATGTATAGACAGCTAGGATGCTGGACGTCATGTGTATAGTAAGCAGGTGTGGGATTGTATACTACAGATGTACGAAGGAAATATGCAATGTCTATGCTATGCCATGCCATAATATACAATGATACCGCTCATATTCTCCACACTTTGGACCCCATCAACTACAGCTCCATCGCCGTACCTCTCCAAGCTCGCACTAGTCCTTGCTGAGCCCAATTCTCTCCTCAATCATGCGACTCATCCATAGCATCCTCCTCGCTCTTCACAAAGTCATTCACCGCGACTGCAATAGCAAGCAACACCACGCTCCCGAAGCAGCCTCCCACAATCATCCTGCCCCGAAATCCTTGCTTCCTCTTCAATACCTCATCCTCACCCAAGATCTTGACTGCACTCTTCAACCACGCATAGCTCAATCCAGACCAGATCGTCGTCCCAGCGACCACAACCTGCAGTCCCTGAACCATACTCTTGACTCCATCTTCTCCGCCCAGATACTCACGAACATCATTGAGGTACTCGCCAGCAGCGGAATGCATGGCGGACGGGTCGTGCAGAAGGTTGACGCAGAGCGTAGTACCGATCAACACCAGCTGCAGAAACGTATTGAACTTGCTCATTGTCGTTGGGTGGACTTCAGCACTCGGCAGCGAAAAATCCCAGTAACGTCTCCACGTCTTCGGCCCCGGCAAACTCGCGTACCGATAATAAATAGCCGCAACCGCCAGACTCACATCGCGTCCCAAGATCAGCGTCGCGAGCGGTAGTGGCAGACTCCCATTAACAGCCAAACACGTAACCAAAGTCGTCATGAGCGCCTTGTCGGCGAGAGGGTCGATGACAGAGCCGACGACGGTCTGCAGGTTCCAACGCCGCGCGATCCAGCCATCGAGCAGGTCGGAGAAGCCGGCGTAGGCGAAGAGGGAGAAGGCGTATAGGTGGTGGTTGTGGATGATCAGGTAGCCGATGACGGGGGTGGCGATGAGGCGCGAGACGGTGAGGATGTTGGGGAGGGTGTAGATGTTTTCGTGGCGGAGGGTCCCTGGGAATTTTACTTTGGCGGCGAGGGTTGTAAGGCGGGTGGAGGGTGTTGGGCGGGGTTTTGGGGGAGAGTCTGGGTGGGTGTTAGTACGGGGACTAATGGGTTCTCCCTGGAGGGAGATGAAGTGTTGTAATTTAATTCATCGTAAGATAGCAGGAGTAGATATTTAGTACCTAAACATGAAGTTAGCAATTTGGCTCAAAAACATTCAGTCACATGAGTATATGTTTGGGGCAGGACTGGAAGGCCTTGTGGCGCCCGCTTGATGCTAAGGGAAAATTATACCACTAAACCACAAGCCCGTCAACAGTTTGATGACAGGAAATAACAAGCCCAAATGTATGCGGCCTCCAGATTTAGAATTCAAAAGTTATTGAAGGAGAACAAAAGGTCTGCGGTCGGTGAGGTTGTAGGTGAACGTAGCGGCCACCACACAACCCCACGGATGAATTCTTCATCCACCACCGCACAAAAAGATAATAAAATGGCAAAAAGATAACAATTGCATCGGCCGGGAATCGAACCCGGGGCTAGCCGAATTAACTCTTTCGAATGGCAACGGCTAATTTTACCACTAAACCACCGATGCTATCAAGACACTAAGCCTATGATATGTTGTTGATGGAAGAAATCGTAATTGGAGACAATTATAAACATGGCAAAGGTGTAGTACCGAGGATATCGTTGACGAGTCAGACACGTAAGAAAAGCGGTGAGAAACGTAAAGCGTGGACGAATGAAAGTGGGCTCGCGTAGCGTGGAATGAAAATTAGTGTGTGGACCCACCTTTTGCGTTGTTACGTGATGCACCCTCCTGCAGGCTCTTCTCCGCATCTTCGCGCTCTGCCTTTCGTCTCGTGGATGTGCTGAATGTCGTTCTTGTCCATTGCCGAGTCCTCGAGCAGTTGATCGCCTTCCGGTGTTGGGAAAAGTAAGGTTGTGATTTCGTCGCGGGCCATGAATAGGAGGCACGTGAGGAGACTTGCAGCAAGCTTTGTCGAGCCCCCGATAGCTGGGAGAGGCCTGATCGGATGTGCTGAGGACTGAGGGCGAAGCGAATCGCGGAAGAAGGGAGAATGGGTCTCGCCATCAGTATAGCCCCCAGGATGATGGTATATTGAAGAACTTGCGGCGCAACGATGCTTTGGGATTGCTGATAGACGGATGGTGTTTGTATTGTTTGCTTGCCAAGACCGAGTTAGTCAGCGCGACAACAGCCAGGTCCAACACATGGCAGACAGCCGACCTCTTCACGTTCGAGGATGTCGTGAACCAATCGTATGGTGATAAGTTCACTTCTCTGAATACGTGGAGTAGAAGGTCCTTGCTAACGAAAGGTATAGCGAGAGCTCAAGCAAGAACTGTCGACGTCATCTTTACGAGTACTATCAACGCTCGGAAACACGATTGTATACAGTATATTAACCCCAGAAATCTACTTCGAGAAGATCACTTATCAAAGATGACTGCGGAAATCGCGACTTGAGTAAGTATCGGCTCAAGTCGACTCCGGAACATCAAGCAAGTTTTCCAGCTCTCGTCACCTGAACCAAATATAGCGGTGTAAGACAGACTTTTGCCATCTCGATACCTACTTCTTGACATGGAGCAGCCATTCGTGCTTATTTCGCCTCCTTCTCAGGCTCTCCCAGAGAGCTTATAAGGGCTCCTCTAGGTCTTCTTGCCCTCCTTCACTGCATTGTTCGAGATGTCTGAAAAAGAACAGCATCGACATCGTCCTCCTTCTTCCCTCCGCGAATTTGACCAGTTGATTTCACATGGTATCGACGTTCAATTTACACCATGTACTTGCCCCTATATGCAGTTCCATGGTTGGAAAGTTTGAAGAGTTTTGAAGAGTCAGTGACCGGCGCATGGCGCAATTGAGCCCATCAATGCAAAGAAGGCGTCGTAGCCATTGTACTTGCTACGGCATCACACCACGTCCAGGTCAAACCCGGACCTTTGGAAAAGGGTACAGGTCTGCAACGGGAATAAACCAGTCAATCATTCCCTGAATACCGTAGAGATACACTAAGGCGAAGGGACCTTGACACACATCACAGCAAGTGTTACGGCGGTTCATTTTGCGACTGCTGTATCCGTCTTCACCCAAGACGGGAGATTCGCAATACTTACCTGGCGCAGAGACACTCACCAGCATACCCCGTACCCGCAGTAATGAGCCTTACCTTCATGGTCATTCCCAACAGTAGGATTGGATAAACTTTGGCATGATGTCGTACATCACCCATCGAGTAACGCCATCGTCCGAGTTGCTCGAGCGGACGCTTAGTGGTGATGTAGTTTCCGCTAACAAACTTTATTCTCTCATGCTATTGAAAGCTTATTGCGAACGCCAGAGCAATCGAAGTCGAGTCAGAGCACAGCGAACGCAGCTAGAAGCTCCTGATACAGGCCCAAAGACCCTCTCCTCCAGCTTAAGAAACTTCAAACGGAAGCTATCCCAGTATCGTGTCCCCAAAGAGGCTAGCGTCAGAATAGTCCGAGTACTCAGGGCCCGTCCGGAAGCTCTGAACATCGGCGCGAAAAGATCGCAGGGAGGTTCTTGTGAGGACCTGTTAACGGTCCAATCCAGGTCCACTTGTGATGAAGTGCAGGAGTTGAGGTCATGGGATTCCCAGGCGAGGAATCAATCTGAAACTCCCGCCGGTCTGATACACGGCCTTTGCATCTGATACAACGGGAGTAGATCGTGGACATCAAACGTGCGCCCGTGCTTCATATGGTTCCTCTTGTGGGCAGATTAGCAAAAGCTCGCTGAAGGCTAGCTGACGTACATATGCTTTGAGAATCTGAAGGCGGAATAATGAGTGACATCTGCCTTCTAGAGAGCCTGCTTGGCCCGCTTAAGCGTATCGGATGTGTTATGCAGATCATTTTTGCCCGAAGAAGGTCGACGCGACAACTTCCAATGTTCTGATACAGTCGTCTGGTGCTGGATATTTCGACCTTGACGGCATAATCCGCATGACGAGTGAAGGAACAACGTTCTAAACCTGGGGACCAGCTCTTTCGCGTGAACTTGCTCTGTTCTTCGAAACATCTCGGTCTAGGCAATACGCGCTGACTTAAGGCTGTTCAAGTTCGACCCTTTGCTGCTTGGTGGAGGATGCAGTGTGGTGCGGCTAAAGCTACCTCATTTCGATCGTCCATGGGTCGCTTCCATCAATTAGAGGCTGCTTCGACCGGTTCACTTCAAGAATCGCCCAAGACTGCGAACTTTGCTTGTGTGGGTACCTTTTTAGCCACAGCTGCAGGTACATGACTTTTGCTTTTGCCTCTAACGGCTTTTCAACAGTCGGTAGTGAACCTGCCCGCCGCCACTTTTGTGACATGACTTCATTTTCCCATCGCAACAGGAAAGCAAAAGAAATGGGCACGGCACCTAACTTCCATTAGCATCATGCCGTGCAGAAAGTGGCGCTTGAAGCGAGCCGGAGCATCTCGTTTTGCTCTTTTGGTTCCAGCCAAGGGGTCTCCGGATGGGTTTCAGAAGTGGTCTACTGCAGGTACGGCGGTCGCTCCTCCCCAAAATGATGTTTGCTCCGACTGCACACCTCCCAAGCGTCTCCAAACACAGTTTCTCGATGCGCGCTCTGTTTGTGGAAACAGCAGGTTCCGCGCTGCAGGAGTCTCGCACATTCGGCGCACAGCGCTGGCGGGCCCTCAAAGTCCTCCGCACCCGGACCACTCTGATGCACACTCCGACGAAGGCGGTATTTCCAAACCCCAGGAATTCACTATGAGGTAAGCCAGCTGGCTCGACCGTCGACGGCCGGCGCCTGCTATTCGATTGTTGATCAGCAGCCGTGGACGTCCTGATTCACAGCTTATCGGCGGCTGCTGTTTCGAGACCGCCAGCCCTATCAGTCCCGCCCACAACGGGAGCGCGCGCGGTTCTCCATGGCTGAGGTCTAGAGGGGATCAAATTACGGCTATGATATCCAGTACCTTCCTGTGCATAACCTGGCAGGTGACGGTGAGGAACAACCCCAACTTTTCGACCACTCGGGATAAGCGCTGGCGGCCGGCCGGCATGAGACCACGGCACAGTGATTCGCTGACTCGCCGTTGAGTGGGCTACGACGGCGGCAGTAAACGGCCAAAAAGAAACTCTGAAACGGCGTCTTCTCATTCCAATGGTCCGCAACTCACAGCGTTACGCCGAGCGAACACTTTTCTGCCGCTGAGAGGATCGCCTGAAGGTCTTCAACAGCTGCCATCCGACAGCGCATTTTCAGCGCCTTCTTACGGGACTGCACGGGAGTGTGTCCGTGGGGCCGCGAATTGCGTATCGAAGGGAAGAACCGAAGGCCCTCACTGGCGCGTTTCAGGACGATGATCAAACCTGGCGCCGCGGTGCTTCTGCTGGTTCCTGCATTTCGATGCTACAGGCACACACTCGAGTTCGCTGATCAGCCACAGCACGACAGTCAGCTGGATCGCGAATGCATGTTGTGACGATGTTGCTGAACATGAGCAGCTGCAGTGTCAGATGAATGTTCCTGCGTGCTGCAGCCTGCCGAAATGATCATCCTGAAGGATCTCTCTTGAGCATACAGCAACTTCCACTTACTCAAGCCTCGCACCGATAGCATAGCCTAACGATTCTTATTAATAACGGCCATCCAGAAGTCTCCCACCTATTCTTGAGCTGCTTGAGCTGGCAACAGGGGTGATTGATACTTCTCAACGGCCGTCGAAATAGCCACAATGCATGCTCCGTTGAGTTCATCCGGTGAACGACAAACACCAAAGATCGAGTCCGTCCGGTAGCATCAGTAAGCGCGGGCGGCCGTAGTTGAATGGCTACGATGTCCGCTGTAGGACATCATACGCTCCCGGACGGAACGGCAATTCCTCTGCGCTGCGGAAAACCCGGATCTCACGTTCGCATGCTCCTGCTCAAGGAAGAATGAGGTCGTCAATCGTCGGTCCCTGCGTAGTGCGGTGGCGATCAGTACTCACTCGATGGCAAAGAATGCTGTCACCAGAACGTGTGCCGACGGCCGCTTGCTTCCTCGTGGAGGTGGGGATCGTTCAATGCTGTGTGCGAGCAAGCCGTCTGCGGCTCTAACCCTCTCTGTCAATTGCGCCGCGGGCAAGTGAGGTTGTCCTGCGTTAGTCTCAGCGCTGTGCGCAGGTCCACACTGACTGAGGAACAGCCGGTGGGCCTTTGCGAGGGCTCTCACGCTTCGGCTCGAGCGTTCACACTCGCTATGGGCGTACACGACAAGTTGAACAGACGACTATGCAACACTGCTTGGTCATTCCTCGAGCTAGCGTTCACCACACACTTGTATCGTGGGCTCTCTTCTATCTCGCGACTGCCCTCTTCCACTGGCTGTCCATGGACCCCTTCAATCCCTCGCAGCAAGCATGTACGTTGGAGTGGTAGGCGTCCTCAGCACACCGTATCCTGGCAGACGCACTCCCCTCACCTCCACCCGCCACACCAACAAACCTTGTCGCTGTGATCCAGAGTCTCTTCTTCGCGCTGTCTGCTTTTCCTGCTGCGGGCCCGGCCTTGCACACGAGTCGGGCGCGCACCCTTGGCGGACAGGG